CGCTCAGTCTGTAGCGAGCACCTAGTGAGTGCTGACCATTATTATTTTGTCTTCAGTGTCGGGCGTGTTAATCAAAGTTTATAAGCTAAAATATAGAAAAGGGCTTACTTTATGTAGGGGGTATCAAAGGAAAGAAATGAGTTGCAAGCATGTTTAAATCTCAAACTTTAGATATCATTCTCATTCTTTCTTTTCTTCCTCTCTCTCCAGTCATCCACCACCCCATCTCTTCTTCCATGTCTTTTTCTCCCCATCTCATTCTCATCCTCTGGTCACCTGTTCTCCATTTCTCTCCATCTTGTCACATCTCTCTTTTCATCTCTCTTAATCCACCTTCCCATCTCTTTCTCCATGTCTGTTTCTAATTACCTCCCCATCTCTCTGTCCACATCTCTTTCTCTGTCTCTCCATTGCATAAATCTCTCCATTTCTCTGCCTCTGTCTCTGTTTCTCTGTCTCTCTCCCTTCTCATTTCTTCTTTCTTATCTCCCTTTCCTTTCATAGGTTCTAATTTCTGGCATGGGCCTTGTTATCAGACAGCTTTCTCTTTGTAGTAGGAAGGATGACCCCTAACATCTTCAAAAACTACCCAGTCCGCAATGCTATAATTTTCAGAGCTTTACTTTTGTCACAGCTAGAGTACATTATATTTAAAGAATAGAATTGTTCTAAGAAGCACTTTATGAAAACAGCAGTCTCTGTTCCCTGTTCAATTTCTTCCCTCAGAGCCATCACTTTCAAATTTTTAAAACTGATTATCTTTATATTTATCTCTAAATAACATGATGCATTTTGATTTTTTACTTTTCTACATTATATGTGGAGCTCTCCAAATAGAAATTAGGTAATTCATGTTATCGCAGAATATACTTATTTTTTGATCCAATTCTTAATATAATTAAATTACTCTTTTTGGTAGGTCATTATGCAGTAATTACACTATTATTGCTATGCAAGTACTCCTCCTAAGCTGATTTAGTTTACTTTTATTGCATTTACTTCATATATAACATTGTTTTCATTACAGTAAATATTTTTTCCTCTTTATCTTTTGCTTATTTTTCAATGGATTCATCAGCAATTCAAGCCACCACTCTCCAACTGCACCTTCTCTTCCCAAAACATTCGGTTGTACTCTCTGTCTTTCATCATCTTGCAGAAGTCTCGCCCAGGGGTTTCTAACCTACCTCAGTCTTCTTCTTGCCCTCCAGGCCTGATGTACGGATCTCTTTTGGTATTTATTTTTTATTTTAAAGAGAATAAAACAATAAAACCAATCAAAACAAACCACCGTATGAGATATAAGACTTCAGAATATTATGAAATCAACAACAGTTACCATAAAGCCCTTACATGTTTTCAAAATAGCTGCAGATAACTTCCGACATAGTAAAAATCAAACAGAACAGAATAGAATAGAAACAATAAAAACAAAACAATGATTGCAATAAGGGACTTCAAAACAAGCCAATAGTAAATCCAAAATTGCTACCCTAATATATCTTGCTATCTTCAAAGTAGCTGCTCCTGACACCAGAGTTAACATAATCAAACAAAATGAAAGAGAATAAAACTCAACCCAACAAAACTATGGGAATGATACAGGATCTCAAAACAAAACCATAGGGAATCAACAATGGCTACAACCCTCAGAAGGAGATCCCTCCTAGATGCTACACTGTATACTGCTACCGTCTGAACCTATGATCAGACCACTGGTCCTAGACCTGCAATGTTAGTGAAACACTAAAGCACCACAGGCATCCAATTGCATTTCACCTCCATAGCTATCATCACAGCCTGTGTTTCTCTAGATAAACTTATGGGGAGTGGAGGGTGGGGAGGGGACTGGTACTTCTTATATTGCCAGCTCGTACCAGAAGGAGCTGGGGTCTGGTTTCTCCCAGTCTGGCAGCGGCCCACACATGGCACCGGTTCCCGGACTGGGCTTATTTGCTGGTGTGTCTTTGTTCTCTCTTCCCTCTCAGCACTTTTCTTGACTGCTATCCTGAGGCTTCTTTTCCTTCATCTTCCATGTTTATCTCATATATATGTGTATATATATATATATATATATATATATATATATATACATCTCACATTTTCATCTTTATAAGTATATGCACTTGCTTTCATAGAACACACCCTGAAATAGCTTTCTAAGAAAGATTTTATAGAAAGAAATCTTATATACATACCTGAAAATTTTTATTATCGTCTCATATTTAATGATGGGGTATAAATTCTTCTTTTTCATGATTCTTGTAACTAAATGCTAACTGGAAGCAATTTTTTCTCTCCACAATTTTGAAAGCATTGCTCCATTATTTTTTAAGTTATCAGTGTTATTTTTAAGAAGTAAAATGTATATGTAGCATAGGAGTTTTTGTGAGCAATCTGGAATCTAGAGGGTCCCATTGCTGAGATTTTATGCTGATAGATTTTGGTAGCATTTGAATTTTATCCATTGTGCTGGTCACTTGGTATGTTCTTTCCACCCACACTCTCAGTTTTTTCTATTCTCTTTTCTAGAAATCCTATTATTTCTATGTCAGAGATATTACCTGTTCTTATCTTTTTTTGTCCTAATTTTTCGCCTTTGTTTTTTCTCTGAGAAATTCACTTAACTTTATCTTTCTGCACTACTTTTTAGTTTTAATTTTCAGTTTTTTCTAACTTTTGCTATATATATATATATATATATATATATATATATATATATATATATCTGTATATCTTACTTTTCAAATTTTATAGCTATAGTACCACCTCTTTTCTCTCTGAAAATATTGTGTGATTCTTTTAAAATTGCTTTTTAAAATTTTTCTTATTTCCATCAAGTTTCTTTTTCTTTCTTTTATTTTAGACTCTGTTTTCCATGATAAATGAGTGCTTTGTTGAGCTCTCACTTGTCTTCTTTATTCTGATTGGTTTATGATTTCATAAATATCCCTTTTATTGGTCTTGTGGGTAGGTTATCTGTTTAAGAGTAGAGCCTGAACAATCCAGTGAAGGATTTGTGTGTTGATGGGAATTGTCACCTGAGGACATTAATGGGTTGCAGGTGGATGAATTGAAATCCTGATATCTATATCTGCAAATTCTCCTTTTGGACTGAGGGGAGAGAGAGAGAGAGAGAGAGAGAGAGAGAGAGAGAGAGAGAGAGAGAGAGAGAGAGAGAGGAGAGAGAGAGAGAGAGAATCGTTCATTCATTTATCTAGAGGATAAAGAACTGAGTGTCAGGGGTATGCTGAGAGTTGGGTCATGAATCTGAAAACTAGGTCAAATATTTATCTAATCTTTGTTTCTGGAAAGGTCCTGCTCTCTTCACTATACCTGTTTCCCTCAGTCGGAGATCCTTTTTATCCACCCCTGAGAAAAAAATCTTTGGTATCCTGCCAAGTTCAGGTACCTAAAAGTAGGAAGGGGAAGAAATGTGGCATTGAACTGATGTAAAACAAACTTCTATCTGATTCTCCTTTTTTGGTGCCATCCTCACCAAAAAAGCAAATGAATCTGGTTCTACAAGTATTTGCATCTTAAGGGCGTGTTAGCATTTTTGTCAGTTCTACTTAACCAATTACTTGTGACTTAACAAAATATTGTTCTGCCACTTTCTTCCTTATTCCTTTTGTTTTTATATGCTTACTTTACCTGAGTTTAAGGAGAAACCAAAAGAAAACATGTTTACTTAACTCCTTGGTGCTTTGGAAGGTCCTTTGTCTCTTGATGTCGGTCAGATGCCCTTGACAGAACCCTGATCAAAGATGTCTGGATCACCTGTCCCTAGTCCCTGATCCTGGGATCTGGGTTCTCAAGAGTATAGGTGACCTGCTTTTCCTTATGTTAGGAAAACTGGGACTATAAGATTGACAGTTGCATGAAAATCATACAGAGTGACAATTACCAAAAGAAAAGAATGCATTACTGACAAACAGGCAGCAAATGTCTCAGACACAGGGCAGCTTTGTCCTCCAAAAGGTGCTGATCTTGAGAAGGCACGAATTTTCCTGTTTCTTTGTATTCAAAAAGTGTTGGCACCATGTCACAGACACTAGTTCCCCAAACGGAAATCAACTCCTTGTTATTTTCCTCCATTGTAAGCCTCAGCAACATCTGCTCACACTTAGCCCTCCTGAATCAATTGATTAATGCAGATGCCCACTGAAGTGAGAAGGTATCACACACACTGCCAGGAGAAGTCCCACATCCTGGGGAGGAAAGAAGGCCAGGTGGGCAGGTGTTCATAGTACTCTGGATCTGGGGCTTGGGGAGAATCCATGGAAGTGACGACATGGTGTTCTATCTTAGACAACATGAACAAAGGGGCATGCCATTTTAAAAATTTCCCTTCTTTAACTGCTGATGTCCTAAAGGAAGGAAACTTAACTGGACATTTTAAATATCTGCATGCATCATTTGTATAGCTGCCTTTAGATCTTGTAATGATTTCTTTTGTGTCAGTCTCTGAGGTAAGATATTTGAGACATTCAAGGGAATAGTGCCATCCTCCTTAAGTGTTTAGACAGTATGCTTCCAAGCTAAAAAGGAAAACAAAAACAAAAACATTTTGAGTCTCCTGGCCATGATATCACAATGATGCAGTGTAGAGGGGATAAAGCTTTTGAAGGGCATTCTTAATGGCAACCTTTAAATGAATTGAATCCTTGGTAACTCAATGACAAGGCCTATATGTTACTGTCCTTTTCCCACTTAACAAGAACAAAAGGCCACATCCAGAGGAACTAGTCACTTGTGATGGGACATGATGACATTTTTATTTCTGAACTTTTCTCATATAAAAAAGCCATCCAAGGAGCATTCGAAGGTACATGTGAGGAATTTGGCAGTAAAACCATCTATCTGTACAGATTTTGGAAAGTCCAAGATGATTAGGTAAAATACAGCATTTTTAATCTAAAGAGAAGCATTAAATTTTTATGTTTTTTGACTTAGCCTTGACTACATGAAATTAAATCTGATATTTTCTCCTCCTACTCTGCAGCTCATTAAAACTCAACCTTATCTTAATTTTGGTGCTTTCCACAATGCCTGTGTTTTGGTGTTATCCAGCTCTGTCTTCTAAGGTAAGAGTTTCACCTCTGTTTTTGATGGCTAAATAGATGACTAGCCTACAGACTATCTAAATTCAAAATTGCCTCAAGAAATATGCAATGGAAAAGCAGTTTATTTTATTTTTAGAGCTTTCAATGAAAAATAGCGTAATCAGATTCAGATTCAGAAATCAGTAAAAGGAAACATTTATGTGATAGGAAATAATACTGGACTACATTAAATTTGTTATGAATTACTTAGGATTGGTCTCTACATAAAGAAATACTCATTTCTATGTAAAATGTTAATTTTTTGCTCATGAAAATTTATTTTTTCATATATATATACATCTACTCATAATCACAGTGACTATTTAGCCATTGAAATTCCATAACTAAGATACAGAGGTCATTTTTCAGAAATGGTGAATGTCCTAAATTTACAAAAAGCAGCTTTTTTTCAGATACAAAATAGAGACAAAAATGCTAAATCTCTGTGAAACATTACATAAATATTAAACGATATATTTATTCAAGAGTATTGATTGAGTTCTTAACTATGTTCACTGAACTGCTCAAGATATTCAGAAAATAAATGTCTTTCTTTGGTATATTTAACACTATTTCCATATGATATTTTACTTTATTTTTATGTCAATATTTTGCTTAAAATTTAAAAACCTTTGGTTGCTGATGACATTTGGAAGTTTTCTTCACTGAAACTTAACCTGTCACACTGTGATTACTAAATCAATGCAATTTATGAAACTATTTTAGGATAAAGAAATATCATATAAATCCTAAATGATAAATCTGTGTTCAAACGTAATACTCCAGTTATTTGTGTTATTGGTCTTCTCTCTAATCATCACATCTGTCATTTTTCTCTTTCTTGTTTACCTAATACAGCTTCTCTTGCTCTGGTTGTCTTCCTGGGAGCACTCAGCACTAATTTAGTCATTGATTCTATCAGACAGCACATTGATCAAGCTGATGAGTCACAATCCATAAATTGGTGTATTTTCTCAAGTGTCTTCCTAATTGCTTTTTATTCTTCCCCCAAAGGTTTACTTGTGACATTTCTGTTGAACAAGAAGCACTTGTGTGTAACTTTAAAAAAAATTAAGCATATTTGTTCTTCTAAAGCAGTTAGGAAATCATGTTGCCCATAAATGAAACATTTCTCCTTTGACTGCATTTCCCATATTTTTGTTTTTGAAGATGACAATTTTGTTTTCTTTATAACTCCATCATGTTGTAATGGTGTGGATGGTATTTGTATCAGTTTGATAGTTTGGGGCAAATGATTGTGCAGTCAAACGAAGTATAGGATTTTTAAATATTTATTTCAAACTTCATACAAGTCCACTAGCCAGGCTAGTACTTTAATGATCTTGTTCTAATGTGAGCTGTTTTTGTATCAGCTAGGTGCTTCAGCATCTTTTTAGTGATGGTTTAAGAATTTCAACAGCTAAAACTGGCATGTTCCTTTTGCAATACAAACATGGCATGGAGAGTGTTTCTGGAAGGAACTGGATTGCTTCCCTCCCTGCAGTGACTCACATGCCCCTCCTGCGGAGATGTAAAATGGATTGCATTTATATTTAATGTTAAGGTTTCCTCTGTTAACACAAGGGAAAATATATAGTAGCACCCAACTAAGAATTTTTATAGATTTTTCCATAACAAGTATTTATGAAATTATCTCCAACTATGCACAGATCAAAAAGAAAAAGACAAACGAGCACTTATCCCCCCCCCCCCCGCCCCAAACCTGGTGGGAATGGTTTGTCTGAACCTCTGACAGTTTTCAGTAGTTCACCCAGCCAGGACAAAGAGTTGCAGGAAGCATTTTATGTGTCCTGGTCCCATTTCAACCTTCAAATACAGTAATGTGAGGCCAAGCTTTTCTTTCTGCTCCAAGATAGAGTGTATGATTTTTACTTTGTATGTATCTTTATTTATAATAAAATTGTTCAGCTCTTGCCTTAATAGTACAGTTGAGAAACCTGAGCTTGTAATCCAGTTGCTCAGTATAACGGAATTTACTTCCAACTTACATTTCCTCATCTGAAACCGAGGAATTGAAAGTATTTGTTTCACAGAACTTTTTGGGGCATAGACTAATATGAGCTACCCAAAGCATGTGTCACAAAAATTACTGATAAATCACTACTTTTATAATTGATGAGATTTGTATTAGTTCCTTTTCAGTGGACTGTGATTCTTCTAAAGCATATAACAGAGAAAAATGACAAATGTTGACCTCTCACCTGAGTCAGAACTGAGAATTTGTCAGCTGTGCCAAGGGGTATGAATTGTGCTCTGGTATTTGATCCCCCAATCTACAAATATGGGGTTGAATCATAGGTTCTTTAAGTCTAGTGAGAGCTCTGAGGTTTCAAACCTATTTTTTCTACCATCTAGTGCCCCAGTATCAGCTTTTACTCTCTGGCCTTGAGCCACTGATAAGGAATTGAGCAAAATATAAAAGTTAAAGATGACAGGGTTCATGTACAGGAGTTCCTTGTGGTCAGCTGGCAAGTAGCCAAGGCAACCTGGGGAACTGTGCTCCTTACCAAAACCTGGGGTTTCATCACCCTGGGTATTTTTGTGTGAATTTGAAACATGATTTCCAAGACTCATTAGTACCACTTGAAATGTTCCTTATAAAAAATAGCAATAACTGTGTTCAATGCATGATGTCAATGCTGAATAACAGCAATTACATAAGTAGTTAAAAATTAGGCAGGTGAGTAGATCATTCCAAATAATATGCTGTGTCTAGGTAAAGCATACATTGCATTTTAACAAAATTTCCACCCTTAAAACGATAAGATATATTAGATTTGTTACCATAAAACTTTGGAAATTGTTACTGTTGGAATAAACTTGCAACCCTAAAGCTATGTTCTGTCCTTCCTCCCCCATCTGAATTGCCAGGTGTCTGGAAAATCTGATTACTTTCTCATCCTGCAGAACAGCTGCCCAGCCAGGCTGGACGGAAGCGAGGGACTAGCTTTTCTAAAGCCAATTTTGGAGAAGACATCAATGAAAAGATCTTTTCGCAATGGAGTTGGCACAGGGATGAAAAAAACTTCCTTTCGAAGAGCAAAACCATGAATAAGTGTGGGAAGAACTCTGGGAATTAATCTCAAACTATGTGGAGTGTGACTGATATGCTAAACGTCAGTTGTGTCTTTATCATTAAGTGTTGGTTTGCTCTCAATTTCCAAATATCTTTCCTTTCCCAACTGGCTCACAGTAGATTGAGTTTTTCTTTTCTTTTTTTTTTTTTTTAAAGAATAAATCTGTCCTAAACTTCTGCTTGTGAAAGAAAAATTTATCTATGTGCTCAGTTAATAACTTTCTCAAATAAGAACGGATGCATTTGCTTTGATCTTGAAGTGGCTGGAATGTGTATTTTTACAGCATAATAGTATATTTTCCTTCCCAAATAGTATGATATCAGGATATTGATCTTTTTTAAATATGATTGTCTTAAATAACTTAACTGTATCAATTCTGTTGGGCTATGCTACTTCAGTCTGTAAATCTTAAAATTAGAAGAAGTTAAGATAGTGGTATGGTATGCTAATCCACTTATCAAAATTTGCAACAAACGTTGCCACAACCCTCTGGATATAGTTCTGGTCTCTGTTTTCCAATTCCAATTAAAGTAAAAGATGGACTGCTGTTTCATCTTGGAAATTTTTTTTTGTGTTTTAAAATCTTACATGAAATGCTACCAGTAACAATGAGAGAAGAGAGATTCTTGCTTGCCATGTGGGGTGGGGGAGTTTGGGAACCTGCTCCTCAAAACTGGGCCTATTGACCTCCTGCTCTTCCTCTCCTAGGAGAGGCCTTTACATTCATTTCACAGAAATGCTTGGCAGAGTTTTTTTTTTTTTTTTTTAAGGCTAATGGCACATTGGTTGTTGTGTCATTGTGTGGTTGTTGTGTTCATACATGTTGAATTCTGCCACACACTAAATGACATTCACTGAAACCACATGCAGTTCGCACACTGAGAGCTTCAGAAGCTGCAGAAGGACACAGCCTTTGGTCCCTGACTTCAGACAGAAACAGAGAGTTCTCAGAAAATTGTACTCAAGGTGAGCAGGTATCAGAGTAGCCAGGTAGGTCTGCTCACTCAAATGCATCCTAACAAAAAGAAGCCTTCAAATACACTCTTATTGAGCAGTTTCCAAGAACTCATTCACACACATTAAGCTTCTAAAGTTCTATGGTTTGTCCTCATCTTTTGTGAAAACAGGTGGTCTCTTAATTTGGTGTGTATTTGTTGAAATTAGGGTTTCAAAGGGAACAGATTTAATATATGACATATGATTTATAGGATTATTTTATAATACTAACTCAAAAAGTCAGTTAAGTGCAGAAGAGTGTAAGAGATCTATCTTTGGTCTAGAGATCCAAAGAATCCAGGAGAGGCTATGGATGTCCCACACGAGTCCAGCTGAAGGCCTAAAGCCCATGGTGATGTCCTCTGTAAGTTCAGCTGCATGCTAAGACCCACAGCAATGCCTCATTCAAGTCTGTATCAAGAATACATACAGGGAAGGCCAGTGGTGAAAGCTAGAAAGTCTGTGCCAGGGGGATGAAGGATCTGTGTCATCTGACTGAGGGATCTGCACCGGAGCCAGGAATGCTCAAGGTAAGGACCAGTGCTTCCCCAAAGAGAACAGCAGCCATCTCTGGTAACAGCGAATACCTGAGCTCCTTTGACAACAAGGCCAGCAGAGTTGGTATCAGGAAAATCAGCTACAGCAGTCTTCTCCAGGGAAATCGACAACATGCCATCTCCCCACTCCTCCATTCTCCTTTTATGTCATTCTGGCAACAATCCTCAGGTGGGCCTTCCACACCAGAACCGTGCTGACTCAGTTCAGTTGGCCATTCCAAGTTGCCCATTAGTTAATGCACCACAGTACTTATTTGTTCTTGCTATCCAGACCAGCACCAAGTATTTGGAGATAAAATAACAGAGTATTGCAGATACTTGTTAGAGGAAGAGTGCTTATTTGTTCTTGCTATCCAGACCAGCACCAAGTATTTGGAGATAAAATAACAGAGTATTGCAGATACTTGTTAGAGGAAGGGACACTGAAGAATCAGAGAACATCAGAGAGACATGCTGTGGGAGGCAGAGAGTGGGCTTCCAGAAACAGAAGACCCTAGACAGTGCTCTCTACCCCATCCTGGTTGCAGACTCTCACTTGTTCCCTCCTGGTGGCATTTTCTTCCTGTCAGGCTGAAAATCTGCAAGACCCCTGTGTCTGTTTTCCCATGACATCAATCTGCCTGGGGCTTTACATTGCTTTACACAGTGTCACAAGCCCAGTGTCTAACACCTGGACCAACACTTTTTATTTTTCTTTGGGGACATGGATCTTCTGATGATACTCTCACCAGAGTCAGAGTTTCGGGGTCTGTGTTTGAGGATGCTGCCATGGGCTGTAGGAAAGAAGGAGAAGGAAGAGGACATCACACTTTCCACTGTGTTTCCTGCCCTGCTCTCTCACTGTTCCCAGGATCCAAAAGCAAACCTGTTGCCTTTTGATCTGTTTTTTCTTTTATCACGTAGTCAAGTATGGGGCATGAGCAGATGAAATCTCCAATAACTCTTCACGATTCTTCTTAATCTAATTCATTTTATTTTCCTCCTTCTCCTTATTCTAACTCTCCTAAATACACACACAAACTCATACACACATGTGCACACAAGGAAGAGAGAGAGGGAGAGAGAGAAAAGAGATAGAATAGGGCAGCTGAGGGTTAGTTTTCTAGATCTAAAAGTGTAATTTGGGTCTGAATACCAATGTGGCCTGTCTTCACCCCTTGTACAAATGACAGAGGTGCAGGATATGGAGACAGTGGAGGACAGACTGAATAGAGCCTAAGTGGCTCCTCTGGCTGTTCACGCATCTGTCCTCGGGCTTGGCCTTCCCAGGGTCCTCATCATTAAACCGTATCTTGGTAGGTCCCCTAGTACCTCCTCCTCCTAGCAGTGCATGTGAGTTTACTCCTGCGGCGTCACAGCTATTGCCTCTGCTCCCAAGACTTGCGGCATAGGGCAGATGGAGGCTCTCATGCAGGTGTAGAATGCAGGAATCAAGCTGGGAGCACGTTCAGGATTAATAAATGAGCTTGCAACCATTGCCTCCTTCTACTATTTGTGTCAAGTTTCTGTTCTGCATGGGGGCTTCAGAGTGTCCGAAGTCAATGAGAATATATATCCCCCCTCTTCCTCTCTCTCTCTTTCATTTCATGAAAAGAACAATAGTATGATTTATTTTAATAGATGGCATCACCCTCATATGTGGGACCCTAGAGAATGTTGTAAATCACAGAAAATCCACGACACTTCTGGCCCTTAGAGAAGAAATTAGAAATAAAGGTGCAACAATCTCCATCACCAGGCTACTCAAGCAAAAGAATTCACCGTGCTAGTAAACATCTGGAAGCAAAGGGCCACAACTTTGAATAGCACCTCTGATAACTGCAAAGGCCAAAGGTAACTTGTATTACTCTCATGGTGTCTCAATAAATTTGGTATTAAAATATTTCTACAAGTCTTTCTTTTCCTTAATACAGTTTCTGATGCCTGACCAGTGACAGTTGCCCTCTCCTTTCCCTTGACCTTCACACTTGCCTTCTCTCTTAGATCAGCTGGATTCATTCCTTAGCTGTTGCTGCCAGGCTCTGCAGCACCGCAGACCTAATGGGTACTGTGTGAAGTATTTCCAGTAAAATACAGAAGTTTGTCAGGGAAATTGGTATTTCTTATCTGCCCAGCACTATTGGTGAAGAAGCTAATTAGGTAGTCTGATAGGCATTATTTACCACTTCAAGCAGAAAACAAGTGACTGCATTAATAAGTCTGTGGTAAGTGTAGTGTTGGTGAGACACCTTGTGAATGGAAAAGGGACAATTGCTACTTCAGGGGAATCTTCCTTATTTCCTATTATTTGCATTTATATGTATTTGTTGGAATAATAAAATACCAAAACCACAATTGGAAAAATTCTCTTCCTAGTTCTAGATCTAAATTATCTTTTTAACCACAAGAGGAAAACATTATTAAAAAATTATTTGCATTCTAAAAATCATAGCAGATTACAAATGGATAGACAAGAAGGAAAATTTGCTCTTGGAGGGAATATTATACCTCTTACTAAGGTTTTAGGAGCAGAAATATTTCTGAATCATGATGAGATGAATCACTGGAGAGGTGACCAACGCCAACGAAACGTTGAAGGAACATGAGTCCCAGGACCGTGGACCATTTTCAGTTACTGGCTTCACTTTCAACAGGTTCCAGAGCAAGCTTGTGCTCCTGGGACTGGACAGGCAGGGGAGCAACTTGTGGTGACAGAGGGCCACACCACGTGGGTTATGACAATCCTTTACCCCAAGCCTCATTATTAGAGGTATTGGTGGAGGACTAAACTTCACCCTGGAATTGCAAGTATCCCAAAGGATGTGCTTTTAGTTAACTTCCCTCAACTCTATAAGGATGTGGTTATTTTCATGTTATATCTAGAGAGATGTTATTGAAGGGGAGGTAAAAGAGCCCATAAGAGCCATAGTACTTGGAAAGAGAGAATGGTGGCATGGGGGTGATATGCACAGACATACTTGGGAGGTTGGACTTCAAGACCACCAGATCCTAGATACTGGAGCCCAGTGTCACTGTTTGCACAATTGTGTCACCTTGCTCAAACTTCTGGAATTCTTTTGAGTCAAAGTTTCACCATCATAGGATGAGTTAATGTCTTGGTTACTTTTCTCTCATTGCTGAGACAAAATACTTGGCACACAAAGTTAGGGAAGGAAAGGTTTGTTTAGCTTAAATTTTTTTGGAATTTTCAGTTCATAATCAACTGACTCCAAGGCAGGGTGATGTGGCTAAAGGGCAACTGTTCATGGTGACTGCAAGCAACAAGAGCAAACAGGGTAAAAAAGGGGAAAACATGCCTCTTTTCCTCCCTTATATTGTATGCCAGCTATCTGACCCTGGGCAGGTGCAGCGCTCACACTGCCAATCCCAGAGCCAGACAACAAACCAGTCACACAAATGTTATATTTAGGTGGCTCCATGACTGCATGAGCCTTGAGGGGCATCCAAACACAAACCATAACAGTTAGTGTGACTCATCTTACAGAGTTGTCTCTATTTATCAGTTCATTTTATTGCACATCAGTTATGCTTCATGGAGAATGTTCTAGATACTGGTATTATGTCAGTCAAGATAATGGACCAAAATTATTAGGGTGGAGTTGGGAAACATAGTATACATGTAATACAATACATGCATACCCTTAATAAATGTGGAGAACTTAACAAAAGTTTTTCAGGGAAATTGATATGCTGTGTCTGACTAGAATTACTGCTGGGGAAGCTAAATAAATAAAATGGTGAATATTATTCAACATGTACATATACATATAATGGCATATTTCCATGTAGGATGTACATACATACTATTACAGGTAGTAATAATATGCACATGTATATAGGATTCTAGATGATGATAAGGAGAAAGATCAAGAAACAGAGAAGGTTGTTGGGTAGAAGTAGGGATATATGTTCTGAAGCAGTGTTTAACAAAAGCATTGCTACAAAAG